CTAGAGTTAAATTTTCTTTTTTTGCGATCCGTTGATTGTCGAATCGAAAAAATCTAATAGATTGGACTCCGACTGAATATCAATTTTGACTGAGAACATTTGTTGATAGAAATAGAGTCTGTAAACAGCTCTTCACTACGCACCTTTGGTCAAGCGATGGATACTACTTATTCCTTTTCGTTGTTTTTGAATCAAGCATTGTTTCTCGTAAGTCTTCAGTTAGTTTTTCCAGTCGACATGCATTCTTTTTGACCAATGTTTAATGCCTTCGATCTTTTCTATTTTAATATCTGGATACAGAGGATTCTGAATGAGATGCCACATGATTTTGAATCTCCATCACCAATGTAGCTATAATATGTAGAAAATAAAATAAAATATATTGTACTTGGTATTTTTATACTTTTACATACCAACTATACTGGACCTTATCTTTCGAAAACAACATTGAAAGAAATTTTGAATGTCTTGCGATTCCATATCTCCTAGGAAAAAGTGTGACATAGATCCGATCTTCTAGGTTTTTAATTAAAAACCCTAACTTACAGGGCGACTTATCACGATTTGGCTTCACAGTCATGATTATGAATGATTTCGTGATATAAATCTGATTCTGTTTTTTAATACTCTATGTACCAGTGCAAATTAAACGTATTTTAGATAAACGTTCAACATCGAGTACTTTTGGTGTTCGACTAGCTGATAAGATTGCAGCTTTCCATGCATACTTTTAAAACCTCTTTTCGCACAGGTTCCATCTCCGCTGACAGTTAAAGCTGTTGGACCGGCATCATTCTCACCACAACTCCTTCATCTAACAGATAATAAACCAAACAAAACGAAAGCATATTACAGTTGTTTTTACACAACACTTGCAAAGAGTAGCTTGCATTTATTGGTTTTGTAATTTATTGATTTCTCAGCGGTGCTCTTCATCTACTGGTGAAGCTACATTCATCGCTCCAAACACTTTCATCATACCAGCAAGACCATCCCTGCTAAATGTCCCCCCAAAAAAGTTATAACATTATCAGGATTGAACGAAACGATAGAAGTGGCTTTTTTATTTGAATCAAATGCTGACGTACCTTGTTGAACACGTATATTAAGGCCTCACCCCATCCCCCTAAAAAAAAGTCAATTTTCATCAGAAAAATCGAAATTGAGATAAATGCATGGAAAGAGAGCCCAAGCTCTGCTCTTTCAGAAACGCTATGATTTTTTTATTGGACACTCCTTTTTTGACAAAATTTTTAATTCTTTTCTGGCATCGACTGCTAAAAAAACGTGGGTGTTGGTGTGGGTGTTGGTGAGGATGAGGGTGTGGGTGTGGGTGTGGGTGTTGGTGAAGATGAGGGTGTGGGTGTGGATGAGGGTGTGGGTGTAGGTGTGATTGTTAGACTTTTCCTTCATCACATTTATACCCACACCCACACCCTCACCGCCGTCTGTAAAAAGAAAAGACGATAGAACCCGGCTGCATGTGGAGATTAATAATAATAACCGGGGCCGGCCCCAACGGGCGATAAGTCTATGGGACGTTATTATTATATTGTGTTCAAAAGATTTTCAAAAACTGAATAAAGATATATATGTTATGTGTTTGACAACAATTAGATTTAATAGAAATATTTGAAATCCTATGTTTGATTTGATTTCTACTCTATTGATAATTAAGTAAATTAAAATTAAATAAGAAGTTTCAGATTTCTGATAAATGGTACAATTTGTAGAGTAGAGTAAGATTGTGAGTTTATCTTATCTCAACTAACATTTACACGTATTTTCCCTTGTTCTTCATCTTTTTGTTCGCCTTATATTATTTAATTTGATAAATTCAAATTAATTTGTTATATTTTTTTTTCTGTTCTTTCATTCTGTCTTAGTTATCTCTTATATAATTAGATAAATTTTCTTTTTTTATTATCTCCGATACGAAGAAAAGGACATAACAATATATATTATTTACATAAAGAGTCTTCATACTCTTCAATAAAATTAATCAATTTGATTTATTATCTAACAATAAAGATAATAAATAATAAAATAGATTCATTGAATCATGCAAAAAAATAACAATGAATATAGATGTTTCGTAGAAAGAAAAAGTTTATTCTGATTTTATTTCTTGGTAGATTTACAAGACTCAGTAAACCTTAACCTTAGTCCGGTACGAATATATTTAAGAGAGCACCCACGAGCCCATCGAGCATGGCGCTAGATATCGAAGCACTCGTCAAAATTTAGTTTTCTGATTTGATATTCTCATCTTATTCAGCATTATCTAAAACCTCTAAATCCAAATTTTTAGCGCATTTGGTTGAGCTGGTGAAAAGTNTGACTCTTTACTTGTAGTAAAGGGTGAATAGAGAGTGGTCCTGTGAAAAGTGAAGGTGTATGAAAATCTTCAACAGGAACCATATGTGTGATAACTGCAAGGCATCGGCATTGACATCCTACCCAAATACCAAAAGAAAAAGATCTAATTACATATCATTTTCAAGATCATTGAAATGAATTTTGTACCAAGATGAATTTTTTTATTTGAAGATATTCAAAATAAAGTATCTATTATCCGTTTCAAAATAGAATGTCCGTCGCTGTTTTTCGAACAACTCAAGTCAGGAACAAGCTAGAGACCTGCGAGTTTCACCAATCGATAGAGGACTTCAGGGGACACAATTATATAAGAGAAACAAAAACCAATCATAATTTGACGATAGTGAATTTTGTGAATGTCTCAAAGATTGAACCACACAATATCGACACTCTGATCAATTTTTAATTCTCACATAAGCAATAGATAGCCTGGATTACCCTCTATCGATCTGTCCAAACTCGACTTCGATAGCCCTTGTCGTTCGGGAGATATCCTATTTTTACTGAATTGCACTCCTCCTCTTTTCTCCCATTTTTAAACATCAGAATCTGGGTGACAGCAAATGTTGTCAGCTACGATAGCTTACGCAGCAATAATCACTGCATGTAAGGATCCTATACACACAGAGACGCATATAGAACTACACGTAATAGTCGTTTTTACGCCACTTCTCAAATACGTAACTTCACTCACATTTGACTCTTTACTTGTAGTAAAGGGTGAATAGAGAGTGGTCCTGTGAAAAGTGAAGGTGTATGAAAATCTTCAACAGGAACCATATGTGTGATAACTGCAAGGCATCGGCATTGACATCCTACCCAAATACCAAAAGAAAAAGATTAAATACAAAACCAAAACTCGCACTTATTTCAACTGTCATCGTTATCTTAGTTGTCTGAATCATCAAGCTACACGTCACTATTGACATCATCATCGGAGACTTGGTTATCATCATCGGCATCATCCAGTTTTGGCTCAATCACATCTTGAACATATTTATCGGCGTCTTTGAACTTATCTTCATACTGTTTGATATGTTTGAAATAGCTTGTTGCTAAGGATTCATCTACAGCTGCCAAATATTCTAACGCAAGATTGTGAATATCAGCGAATCGAAAATTCGTATTGTTATCACGTATGTAATTTTTAAGGCCAGACCATGCCAATTCGATTGAGCTCAACACACTGTGTCTAACTGGCAAACGTAATATTTCAATGCCAAATTCTTTTGCAGCCTCGTCCACCTTGAAAGAAAACAAGGATGTCAGACATATTGGTATTATTTTTATGTATTCACCTTAAATCGTCGAGGAGGCGCAAATTTAAAAACTATTTCCAGTAGTTCTGATTTCGTTAACGACGGTTCGTATTCAATATCGTTTCGATCTAACCAATCTTCAATCATTTCTTTTCGGGAGGATCGATTGGGAAGTTTAGAGTCCTCTGTTTGTTGACTATGCCATCGAGCATTATCTATTATAAGACATATACGTTGAGTTGTACCTGAGACACAATGAATCAGAGAATGATTAATCCTGATTAGCAATACTCTTTTGAATACCGTATTGTTTTCTCAATTTGAAGTAAGTTTCTCTAATCCAATTGATAAAGCGAGACCCATCCATGGTGTGTTCAGCATCACATATGAATATGTCGAGTGAATCGAGATGAAACCCCATTTCATTGATAATGCCGCTTATAGCTAG